CCAATTGTTCCAATTCAACAATGCCCAAAACAAAGATGAAGAAGCGTATTCAACAAGAAGACAGGTCGTCATCGCTGCCACCTGCTTTAGAACATCAAAAATCCAAAAAAAGTGGTAGGTTTTCCTCTTACTCTTCAATACGATCACTGATATGGTCCTTTGTTCTGTAGTACATAGAAAACAACATACACAAACTCACTCCAGTGCCCCGTCTGCGAGCTCTTCCCGACCTCGAAAGAACTCTAATCTGCCTAGCAACAATCGTTCCAACACCACAAATTTGTCGACTTTAGCACATTCTCAACCTACGAACAACTCATTGGCTTTAGCCCATTCACAGCCGACTAACGCCACCAGCTTTTCCCAGCCACATGTTCTGACCAACAGTCAAAAAGCGTATCTAAAGCATGTTACTGAGACTCTTGATCTTTCTAGCAAAGCCCATGAGAAGGCACTAAAGGTATGTGAGGTAAGTTTCTGATCTTCATTCTTGCCTTGATCACAACAGTCATACTGAAGCTCGTCTTCAGGCTACCCGTCCTGAAAATGAATTCATTGGAACGATTGGCTACCTTTCCTACATCCAGCAAACAATCGAGCAGGGATTGAGTGGGGAAAACCTCCCTTCTGCCCTTGCACCAGCTGCTGCTAGCATCTGGCGCCCTTCTGATATACTAAAGGCGAGTTTAATCTTCTTTGTCCCTTTTTTCTATGTCCTGATATGCTTGTATGTTGTATTCAGGATGTTGTTCGACGAGACTTTAATGCCCTGATCATGGATGTCAAGATTCAGGCTTATTCTTGTATCCGTGACTCAAAACGATCTGCCATACGACAATGCTTTGATGCATTATGCAAGGTGAGTTTGTTTCTTTTTATTATTGTATCGTCTAAATATTAAAATTTGTCTTCTTCTCTGTTAGAAATACATCAAGTCCAGAGACAAACAATTCATCAAAGCCCATTACCCTACTGGATACGAAACACCTGATGGGGCTGAAGCAGTCAAAACTATCACTGACTGGGCTAATCGATGTGCAACAGACACCCGTAGCCGTTTACGACATTGTGTAAGTATTTTTTCATGATTGTCAACTGCCACAATTTCACATCAACTGATAGCTTGTCCTGTTTAGCTTCTCATAGATGTGAAGCCTTCAGGAAACGAAGCTTCCATGAATGCCATGCCCAGCCTTCAACAACTTACTAGCTTGGTAAGATTTTGTAAGTTCTTCTTTGTTTTGTTTTGCTGCTTATATTTTTGTGTAAGCAGGTTCATCACACCTTCATCCTCCAAATTGACCCCCGAACTGAAGAGCAAATATTCAAAGATGTCTCCAAAGACTTCAAACACCGTCTCGCCTTCTTAGTACATCTTTTTTTCCTTTCCCATTCAGCTCTCACTATTTGGTGATGCCATTCCTGTGTAGCGCATACATGCTGTGTACACCATGCAAAACCCAAGCACCGATCGTAAATATTGCATCTGGACTAGTGTTGATAACACTCTTGAACAATTGAAGATTATGAAAAAAAAACATGGAAAGTTGTACAAAACTGCGTGAGTCACTGCATCTTTTCTCTCTGGATTCTACAGCACTGATTTTTTGTC